GGGGGGGGGGGTGGCTGAGGCGATGGTAGGAGTAAAGGAGATGGTGGCAGAGCAGAGTCGGCTAGCAAGGTAGCAGTAGGGTGAAAAGGGAAGTGATGGTGGTGGCAGGATCGAGAAGGGGTAGTATAATCGATGCGGACATGTGCAGTTCCCTTGGGGTAGCTCGCAACCCCTAACTTGCCAAACCTATTTATACAACAATGCCCCGTACACCCCCATAAACCACCCCGTGGACCACCGTAGTCCTGCAGCGCACACCCTCGATCGCCAACCAGCCCCTGTATTCCTGGCCCTTTCTCTATACCGTTTCCAAACCCCCACAATACAACCCTTGGCTCTCTTTCGCTCTCCCGCGCGCCCGCGCGTCTTCTCCCGCTCGCTCCCCTACGTCTCGGTTTATAATCAACCCCTACAGAACAGTTTATCTTGCGCGCGCGGCGTGGCTCAAAGCCGCGCTGCGCGAGGGGCTGGTATTTTAAATAGCAAATACTTATCTGTCCGCCGGGTGGCGAAGAGGATGAGATAACAATTGGGGGGCGCCTACATCCCCCTACACTTCAGGGCTTCTATGTTACCGAGTACACAGTATCTGGTTAAATGCCGATTTCCCGATATGTTAAACATTCGCCCACTCCACCTTATGCACTTATGACAACTCTTGCTCACCCTTGGCGAGTACACTTAGATAATTAAGAAGTGCTCTCGTAATACACGTAATCGAGATAATTTAATTGTCATATGTCCTTTCGCGTATATTTATCTGTCACTTTTCACCCAAGCATCGTTTACGGGTTGCCAAGTCCAAACGCAACATCCGAACGTGGTTTTACCACGTGAAACGAATAGCTGACTTCAGGTGGTACGTTTCGGCTGAACAATCCAATACACAAAAGTGACACTGTATCTGCATAAGGACGCTACTAAGGCGGTTGATCGAATTCTTGCGGCTTCGAAATATAAGGACAGTTACGAATAGTGATCCGTGTTTATAATAACATAGCAAGAGTATATACATGTATACCTGGCTAATTCCCTAGAAAAATATCAACGCTCGTATACGTAAAGATACACGGACAAACCCACAAACACGCAGCAAGATCCTGCATATAAAACAGGACCAGCTGAGGCATAGATAATCCGGATTTCGGATTAGGCTAAGCCAGCAGAACGCCAGGAGGCCACTCAGCCGTCCTTCCTCCAGGCCTCTGGCATTCCGTGGAGAAGCTGTGACACTTTTCCCGCCTCCTCGACGTCGTGCTCTGAATAAGACACGACAGGATAGACGGGGGGCAAGCGAATGGACACCGACCCTTTTTCAGAATCAAACTGTTCCTACACCTTACAATGAAGAGAAAAGGAAATAAAAGAAGTTTTCTGAATAACATATATCGGTATAGATATAAGTAGTCTAGGTATATAGATACTAAGGAAAGCCAACAGTGTCATAGCACCAGTGAAAAGGCTGCCTTACAACTACCTGTCTAAACCTAACCTATTCTGTCAGAGGGAAATCCCCGCGCCGCAGGGGAATCCCCTCAAGTTACGATATACCAGGACCTGGTTAATTGGTGCTTTTGTCGTTAATTCGCGCCACTGTCGCAGTCTATTCTCGGGAGCGTGTTCGGCAGGCCCCGCCGATTTTCCAAGGCTTCCATACATAATGAGAAAAGCATCCTGGTTATGTGCAAGAGGGGAGTGAGCGTCGCGACGACACGTGTTCCGACACGTGATTCGCGAGGGCGTCGGACGTCGACACGGTTTGGCCCCTTTTAGATCGACGATCCCTCAGGGTGTTTTTGACCCCGTGTCTCACGACGCCACGCGACGCGGACGTCTCGAATTTCTGTACCCCTAGCGGTTCGACCCCCTTTCGAAGAAAAATTTTTTCAAATTTTCCTCGCACTCTGATAATATCTTTCATCTTACGTAATACGTGCAGCTTACGCGAACTGTTCCTATGTATCTTTTACCTACCTCTTTTGAATTTTCGCACCCCAGATTTCATTGCCGGTTCTCCGGGGGGTCCTTGTTTTGCACGAGGGTCTTGTCGACGAGGAAGAACAACCCTTGGGACGGTTTGTCCCGGCAAGACTCCCTCGGGACTGTAGGAAACCAGGATCGACACATCTGTCGAGTCTCCCGACGCTCTATAGATCCGGGAACGTATTACACGGGAGGACGACTCGGCGCCATCCTTGTTCTCGTCTTCGTCGAGATCGTCGTTACAGGGTACACAGTAATAGTAGACACCAGTAGACAGAGCACTGTATACCTAACCTACTACATTGATAGTGTATATCTAGAGTTAGGGTGAAACGCCTGGAAGAGGGTACCGCTGGGCACCCCACGGGGTGAGGACTGTCGGGAAACTGCACCCCCGGGCGGAGAAACACATCAAAATCGAATTCACCAGATGTCCGAAACCAAGTCCAGGCTTCGGTACTCATTCCTAATGACGTTAGGGTATACCCTGGTAGTCTGGTAGTCCGTCGGGACGGAAACGATTCGTGGAGCAGTACGATTTTCTTGTGGGTGAACAAAAACGTTTGTGCTTAACGACACCGTTGATAATTATCATTGCAAAAACATTTCTACACCAATTTCTTTGATGTCAACTCTGATTGGTTTATACCCACTGGTTACGTCCATTATTATCGAATTACACAAAATAATAGTCCAGTTCAAATTCGCAATTTAGTACGACAATGCGCCACCATATTCGCGTGGCGAAAAAAAAAGACAGTTTGAGGAGCAAAGAGAAACAAAATATGTTCAAAGTCCAAATTTTATTGATTAAAAAAAATTACAAATTGGATTGGATGGGATCTTCATTACTGTGCAAATCAATAAAAGTACTCTGTGTCGTTACGGAAATACGAGGTGGTTTATTATAATAATATTTATAATTATTATATGAATCATGGCGGTGTGTCTTGTCTTCTTGTTGTATACATTATTTTTAGCATATCAATCTCTCTCTCTCGTGTTTCTCTCCACCGTCTTCCTCGTTCTTATATCGCGTTACGTTTCCGTAACTGTATTTACATCGATTGCCGCCTTAACAGATACTCGTTACATATCCTATTTATATTTAATGATAATCAATACAGGCTTTACGTGTATTTCTTTCACATTGTTCACCGTGTACTCGGCCTGTACACGCGCGTAGTGTTTTGTGCATCATCCCGACGTCTGGCGTCGATACGTTCGTCTGTCCGTCCGTCGCGTCACGTCTTTCAGTCCCAATACGGAGATACAGTATCATCCGCACATTGTCTCATAGTGCATAATCAACGCTATTGTGTCGACAAGTATAACATAGCCAATATCTACAGGGAATTTTTGCATCTTTTCTCTCACATGTAAATTAGCATTATCCAAATTAATTAACAGGGAAGAAAGGACTGCGATATGGGATTTGGCGAAGGAAAGGGGAAAGTGGATCGTAGAGGAAGGGGAATTAATAGAGGGGTCAGGATACATATTACACGATAGGGTTTGTCAGTTTTATACACAATAATAATAATTAATAATTATACAATAATAATATATAATATTAATAATAATATTAATAGAATAATAATCGGTATCTTACAAAAACAAAAAAAAGAGGAATTTTTTCTGCTGAGCCAGCAGATTTTTGCCAAGAGGTCTCAGGGGCTATTTAAATGGCTAGATCGGGCACCGTCAGGGGGATAGGAAGTCGTTCTCTTGGGGTTCAAAGGTTATGGCGAAGGGTTATACGAGCTTTAAAAGAGGACAAGTGTAAGAAGAGTTTGGGGAAAATCAGGAGGGGGGGTGGGAGTAGAGCCCGTAACTTTTCACGCAATTCATCAAGTCGCGGATCGTTGCGGTGAAATTAATTAAACATAAACTCGTTCTACCAGACGAGGCCTTCGCTTTGCATCTGGTGCGGCTCTTGAAAACCACCACCACCGCCTCCGCCTCCTGGACCGCCGCCATTGCCACCCCCGCTTGGATTACCCTGTCCGCCACCTGTGGGCCGAACGAAGAAACGTTTGTGAGGTTGTTGATTCAGTTACGAAAAAAAGATGCTAAAGCCGATGAACTTGTTCATAATGCAAACAACAAAGATGGTTGTGACTTAAAAATTTGTTTTGGACTTTTTTGGGCGCTATTTATGTACATCCATATTCGGTTACCTGAAGGCGCTAGGAACTCGCCGGGACTACCACCGGAAGGTGGTTGTGGACCCTGACCCGGGGGACCAGTAAGGAAATCCGGTGGACCACCACCCGCACCTGGGGGTGGGTACTCCCCAGCTACCGCTGCTGCTGCTGCCATCCCAACTAAACTAGCTGGATCCAATCCTGTTGGTAAGAGATAAGGAACTTCTGAGAAGGTATAACCTTGATAATCATCTCCGAAGATGTTCTGTATACATATTTGTTAAGAAAATTAAGAAATGCCCATGGATAAGTATAATCCAGAGGTACGCTACAGGATCGTAACGATCAACTCACCAGGATTTCCTGGACCACCGAACGGCGGTCCATGAGGATGCGGCGGCGGATGCCCGCCCATCAAGAACTCATGGTGAAACGTGACAGGACCTCCATAACCAAACTCGAACTTTTCTGGATAATAAGGAAAGCCCGGATGTGGACCATCCTCACCTCCCAGGGCACCAGGATTCAAATTAAGAGGAAATCCACGCATCTTCCGAGAACCACCGAAGAATGGACTTCTGCCCAGCGACGTCAATTGCTTTAGCCTTCTCTCTTTACTCCTCTTATTTTGAAACCACACCTACAATCAAAAGCAATCCTCTCCGTACTTCTCATAGATACCTTCTGCAATCGTTTATTGTAAACACATATCACTTCCGGCCAATTAAAAATTACCTGTATCACTCGCATCGGCAGACCCGTCTCTTTCGCCAGTTGTTCTCTGATGTGCCGCGTTGGCTTTGGGGTGTTCGAAAAGGCCGTCTTCAAGATCTCCAGCTGTTTCGCCTTGATCGTCGTCCTGGGACCTCTTCTCTTGGACCCGGCGCCACCGTCGCCACTTCCGCCACCGGCGCCACCGTCGGGACTCTTGTTTTCCGTTTGACTGTCACGAGTCTCAGGATCGCCATCCAAGGACCCTTACAATTAGTCCAAATAAACGGAACCTCAGTACCACGGTAGAGTCGTAAACGCAAATCATAAAAAATTCCCTAGACTTCGCCTGCATAGATATATCGGAAATGCTAGTGACTTTTTATTCAAAAACATTATCCGCATAACGGTATCATACGACACAGGCAGGTATTATCCACGTGAAGCATGATCGGAATAGGGGCTTGGGATCTCTAAAAGAGAACAAACACCAGTCCGTATCCTCCCCGCTTATACGTATATATATATATAGACGGATTATTAGGGCTGCTCCGGTGAAAGCTATAGGGCCCAGGGACGATAGCCCTAACGTTGGGGAGGTCTTAACCGCGGGGACAAAGAAAATGTTTGGACAGTGTCACACCGCACAAGAGCCCACCCTTCAGACAACACCCTTACGCTCTCCTACTGAAAGTTAAAGTAGCAGCCCTTTGTCGTGTCGATAAAGGGCAACGGTGACACAATGGTACCGGCGCAAAATGGAATAATAATCTCGTTCCTGGCCAAGTCGACGACTTTTTGGATGCCCCTTATTCTTCTCCTCAATTTTGCTCGATTTAAGGTACACGTTCTCCCTCCGTTCGCAAATGTTTTGCACCCATTATTCCCGATCCGAGGGACCTTCTTTGAAAAATGTTTATCAAGGTGCTTGGCTTACCTTGATCCTCGGAGTCCTCTTGCTTGCAGGGGTCGCTTCCAAGGGGTAGATCGCCGGCATGGCCCACACCCTGATCACCAGCGCTACCGGGACCTAAATTATGGGGTCCTAAATGGGGACCCCCAACTCCACTGTGGTGATGATGATGTGTACTACCGTCCTCATCTTCGTCCTCTGATCCCGAACCCATCAAGGAGTCTCCTCCTGTGAACAGGCAATATTTTTCCCATAAATAATAACCCGCTGCTATCGTATTAATTCACTGATCGTTACGTGTATTGTACGTGGAATTGTTTGATATGGAAAATATTTTTTTTACTGATAAAATCCCATGGTGTTACTACGACAGAATGAAATTAATGCGAAAACAATTTAGTACGAAAATGCAATATAATCTTTTATCGCCATACCTTTTCTGTATAAAAATGTATGGTACTCGTAAAAATTTGTTAACAGTCTACATAGATTACTGAAACTTTTTTACACGTTTTGGGAGCTTCCTCGTAAGGCAAAAAAGAAACGGATAAAAATGAGGCAGTCGTATGGAGAATTTGACAACAGCCAAGAAAAGTGAGTCCCAGTGATGTAGTAAGATCGGGTTGGGCATTGCGGTTAGGTGTCGGCATGCGACAAAAGGGGCCCGCTGCGTAACATAACGATCTTCGGTTTTCGTTTCATGGTTAGAAAACCCCATGAAACCGAACCGTGCCGCACTGGGCCTCTAGCACTTGGGACTTCTCTTTGACTTGCTTTTCGGTATCCCCATGATGATGGCTATGGTGTTTTCACAGCTTGCCGCCCCGTAGCATTGCCGTAGGCTTTTCGTTCGGGCCCAAGCAAAAGGCACCGGGGCCCATCAACGTTCTCCGTGACTCTCGTTCCGTAAAATCTCCGGCGTTGAACGCGTTGAACTGTGACCTCCCAAACCCTCGACCTCTGCCACCTTTCTTCACCCGTAGCCATCCATACGTACAGTAACTTTCCCACTCCTAACGTCGTACAACCATTATACTCTGTAATTCCCTAATGCCCTATATTCTCCGAGAAAAACGTCAAAAAAATTCTCTAAAATTATTCACAACCCTATATACACACTCGACACTGGTCCATCCGACGGAACGGGGCTTCATGCTACTCTACCGTCTTCCTCGTTTCTTTAATCTACCCAAATTGTATTTGTAAACACAAGCCATTTTACGGATAAAATTAAACCGACCGTCAATCGATAAGTCTTTTTTGTCAATTTACTGTTTTTACTCGATATTTTTCACTTTCTTATTCATCAAATTTTCATAAAGATCCAATCACTCATACACAGCTATCCCCCAAAGCCTGCGAATCACTTAATGGCACACAAGAGGAAACGATAGTAAAACAGGATCCGATTTTGCTGTCATGAAGTATAAATCAGTACGCGTATTCGTTCATTCATGATTTTAAGTATCGTTCACGGTTCGATACCTGCTTCGATTCACTTTTATCGATATCTAACCTAAGCCTGTTACACGCTACCGGTACTCCACTCATTTGAATATCAGTAACCATCTTCAAGAGGATTTCATCCACGCCTTAATATACGGCTATAGGTGATGCTTTCTCGTTTCGTTTAGAAAATCACTGGCCATCACGATAACGCCAAGTTGGGCCCGTGCCATTTACATTTATATTCACTTATCACGTTTAACTGACCCAGTAAAATACTTAAAGCCACGCACCACCTATATAATACCTACTATTATATTTGGGACGGAGTCCCATTAACTTCTAATAACTATCTCAGATGGCAGCAGCGTCAAATAAATGCAATCACAACAATAACATACGCTCGTTTCTCATGATACTTTAATCAACGTCAATACAACAACAAATACGATCAACCAACAACTAATTCCTTTTTTTTTTTTCACAACGCACAGCCATCGTCCCAAATCATTCTCATAAAATCATTATTATTTATATTGATATAATCTTCTCCGTTTTTGTAGCGTCCAGTGAGGCAAAGGCTGTCAGGATCATCGATACTCTAGGTCTGTGACGCTTCACTCACCGTGATGACCGTGGCTGTGATGATTGTGCGGCAATGGCTTGCCCGAAAGGTAATCCTCCTTGCAGACGAACTTGTTGTCGTCCAGGACGTAGAGTTCTTCGCCGGTGCTCAGCTGCTTCCGACATACCAAGCAGGTGAAGCAATTCAGATGGAAAACCTTGTCGCGAGCCTTCCTGACCAGATCCGACGGACTGATGCCTTGCATACAGCCACCGCACTTTGTGCCGTATCGTCTGCGAGCGAGAGAGACAAAAGAAAAATTTAAAAAGGCGATCGGAAAAAGGACAAATTGTCGGAAAGAAAGAAATAATCGAAATAAAATAAAATTTTTTCGACGTCTCCACAAAGTGACACCGTATTCTGTCCAGGGAACTGTGAGGCCCAATAAGCGTCTTAAATAACACGGGACTGCTGTACTCGTGCGCTCACGGCATTCCTGACACGTGGACCCAATGAGAAACTCGCCTCGGATTCTCTCAACCAGTGAAATCGTATTTCATCCGGGGAAAATTCCTTTTTTTTTTCCCGTCTCCTTTTTCTAACTGCATTCGTTTTTACACGTTCAACCGTGGAGATCGTAGCGGCGAGTAAAGCAGGAATAAAAAAAAAGCTAAAGGCAAGAAAAGTAAGAAAGAAGAATCGTGACGTCGATCATTGATTTTCTACGAGTGGCAATGATAGAGAATAATTATTTATCGTAGAACTTGTATCAGCCACTTAATCGCTTGATCAAAGTAACTAACCGGCTGTGACAGTAATTCTCGAAACGATTACTCTAATAATTGCAAGGTAAGATAGACCGAGTGCATAATATTACTATGTGCATGAAGAAAGTTACCGAAAGCTGCAAAGATAAAAACTCAAGAAGAGAATTCCCTAATCTCAGTTCTTCGCTTGGAGGAGTTACCGGTTAATTTTTTTGGCCCGTGGCCTCTGGCCTCATCCACCGTTTAATTACAGGAATTATTTAATTAATTGGCGTAATTAGTCAGTCCCATATAGCAACCGTCGAGTCGCTCGCACCGTGTTGCTTCTGTTCCAAACTTGAGTCCCATACTTATATAACCGGAGCCCGATAATGAGAGAAGGTCCAAGGTCCCTTAAGCACTAATAGGAAAGTATTACAAACGGCAGTAACCAAAAAATACGAGGGTTGCGAGAAGTAAAAAAAAAGAAATAAAAAGCAAAGAAAATTCACCAAAAGGAGTCTAAAGAACCGTGCGTAAAAAGCGTCATAAGATTTCGAGTCAAGAACAAGAGACATAGGATAGCAAGATACACAAGTAGTATAGGTATATACTATGGACGGAAGGGACATGAGGGTGTGTGGGGGGAACGGGCCCAATAAAAAAAAAACCTATCGTCGGGACGTACGGTGCGCGACGTAGAGGGCAAAAGGTGGCGTCGGGCCCCGCCACGATTTGCCACGGACCCAAAGCCCCGTGCTTTCCTCCGGTAAGGCCCCGCGAGCTTCCTCGGTCTCCACGTCCAAACTGTCCGTCTTTCTGTCTTTCTGTCTTTCTGTCTTTCCCACTGTCCGTCTTTCTGTCGGGCCCTCGTTCTGCCTCTCACGCACACCCACGTCTGATCATAAATGCAGAATCGGGCCCCGAATCCTTTAAACTTTAATCAGCCGTATGTTTAATGAACGTCCTTTAGTATGTTTCTATAATGTTTATAAAGGGTACAGGATATCAGATGTAATTAGACTTTACGCGAATGACCTTTGAAGGACCCACTTTCGCACGATAAGCCAAACGAACCCTGACCTTTTCCATGCACACGTGGTAGCATATTCACATGTATGTATATATGTATGTCTACGATACGAAATATTAATACGATATATATACATATATGTATGTCCAAAGAACGTGTGATGCAACAGCTCGTACTAGGGCGCTTAGCAAAAACCTCTTTATGAATCTCGTGATGGCTGAACCTTCTTGGAAAAGGAACCTGTGCCCGTCTCGTTGGCGGCGGTACGCCCGTTACGCCCAACAAACTTCTAGCGAGAACTTCACGGAACATTTATAATGTTTCCACGTTCAGGTTTCGAGTTCTGGACACACGGGAAAGGTCCCTTAGGAAGACCGAATGATATAGGGATACGGTCTATACGCGATAAACACATACTTTATATTATTATCCGACATTTTTGCCAGTAATAAAATGTTCAAATATATTACCAGCATTCCTTTCTGCATCAACCCTCGAGTATATTAGTATGATTATTCAACCCACTCGACTCATGTGAAATTACCTGAAAACCAGTCTGGCAAATCGAACGAAACACGTGGATGTCAGGTAATATATAGATAAGCAGGACTATAATGAATTTTTCATGGGAATGCAAAAGCTTATGCTAAACTTCGTATACAAAGTATCCCTTATTTATAATATGTTAAGTATAATAGATGTTTGTTAACGACGTGCAATATAGGTATACGAAAGGGTCTTTCGGGCTGCAGGAAATTTTCGACGTCAACAAGGACGTCATTCATTGCTGACTGACTGAATGACTGACTGATACAAGCTTGTATCAGTACCGGTACTGCCGATAAACACCACTACGACTACTTCCGATTAACCGGAAGTTACTTTGGGAAGTAACCTTATAGAAGGATGTGTCAGGTAACCGAATTATGACCGTACTGTGATTTGTAGTGAATAAATATTTAATTTATGAATCTACCTGAAAAAGTCGTTTCTGCAAAAGAGCTTTGCTTCCCTCGAGAAACATTTGTCCTGAAGTGCGATCCTGCAGTCAAAACACCTTACGCAATCTGCATGCCAGGCACGGTCCAATACATTCAGGAGAAACTTGTCCAGTATTGGTTTGTCGCATCCCGCGCACGACAGGATCATCGCCAGTCCGCACCTCCCTGTAGCGAATGGAATACAGCCTTAGTAAATAGTGACGAGTTAAATTCATAATTAATAACTTTACTAAGCTATCATTTGATTTATTAAAAATATATTATCATTCTCGTTCGGAATGTCGTGACAGTTTACACCAGTGAAATAAGTGCACACTAGGATGAGCCGAACGTCTGCGAAAGTGAGGTTACGTTTCCCTTACGGCGGGTTGACATGGATGAGCGGCGAGGTTATACTTGGTGAAATTTGGCCATTCGTTGCAAATGATACTCACTCTGGACTTTGCTCGTTCCAACGGAATGAGCTTGGAATGCACAGGGTGAATCATCGTCGATACCGAAACACGTTAAGGCGTTTCGATTCGTAACGGTTGCAGGTTTAATTCGCCAATCAGCCGAGTCTCTCGATCGCACCAACTCCCGGTGTTCGCACGATTGAATTGAACGTTCGTTGGTAAAAACGTATAACACGCGTGAACAGTGACAATTCGTGAAAATCAAACAATCAACGTTTTCTTGCGCGGAACCTTGGCAGTGCAAGATGTCGCCGATAGGTTCGGGTTGTTTCACAGGTCAAGTTGAGGTAAGTTCTTTTATTAGGCGAGGACACACTTTATTTACCATGAATAATTACTCGGCACGAAGGAAGGTAGAGAATTCACATTTATCCAGGATCGACTGATACTTTTAATGGCCAATACTGTCAAAATCGTTGTGAAATCAGAAGCCTCGGTAGTGACTGCGGTTTGCATTTTCTCCGGTCAGACAACGAGTCGTGTAAAGTGGATGAATACGAAGACTCACGATAATTGACCTTTACGAGTGCCGATTCCGCTTTATCGCCATTGCTGAATGCTCTTCGACTTCCTTTTTACGGTTTCCTCCAATGGGCGGAGCCCTCTCCCTGCTCTATCAGAGCCTGTCAACCAAGCAACCCTCCACCAGCTCCTGATTCTCCTACCCGCTCGTATCCCGACCCTACTTCGCGCAGCCCTCTTGACGTAATGGTAAAAAAAGAAGTCGAAAAAATATACGGAAACGTTAAGACTTACTCCTTACTCTATCTCTCTCTCTCTCTCTCTCTCTCTCTCTCTCTCTCTCTCTCTCTCTCTCTCTCTTTGACACCAAGTATACGTATGAGTTATATTGTGGGTTAGGATGTTACATAAAAATTGACCATGAAATATTTACGACTTTTTGTTACGGCTCTCGAAGAAAGACGTGGCGGAAGTTTAAGAGCTTTGGAAATATTTTTGCAAATATTCAGTATCGATTTTACGGTAGTGAACCTCGGTGTGCATTGCGTAACACGTGGGAAAAGTGATAAATGGCGGACAGGATTAATTACACTGCCGCGGTACGATTAGTCTCGAAATCAGCGACAAATGATGGTTCTATCATACTAGACGCGGATGGTTTATGAACTCGGTTTAATTTCAGCACAGATCGTATACGGAGATAGAAGGAAATTCAAAATTACCCGCCATTCTTTCGCGTGTTTTATATCGACCTGCTATGATCACAATATTACATTTCATTATGTCGCTAAGGTTAAAAATCTAGTCATGCCATTTTCAAATTAGTATTCTCACCGCAAATGCACATAAAATCATATATCACTGTCTGACTGCAATTTTTTCAGGAATATCTGTGCCAATGAAATTCACTATTACTTTGTAGAATTCTACCAAGACTTTATCGATCTATAACGATTCTCGAAAGGATCTTCCCGGTCAACGATCTCGATCCCGAGCATGTATTCAAGGACGACGACACGCTTCTTCTTTTTCATTTTTTAATCACTTCGTTCACCGTGCAAGAAATTACGAGCGTCGCAGTGCGAATCCGTCGCGCGACAATAACCGCCAGATTAATACGAAATGGCAAGTGAGTAAAAGCGTCCCGCTGCGGAGAGAAGTGAGGCGCTTTCGTTCTCAGCGATGAGGAACATCGGCAACTTCACGGTACGACGAAGGAAAGCGTCAACGATTAAAGCAGTCCGAACGAAGATAAACAAATGAAATGATAGTAACCACCATCCATACAAAAAATAAATAATACATGAGATACCAATATAATTCAAAGACAAATCGTCACATCTTACCTATGTTTTGGGCCTGGGTTACGGGCAGGGGTGCGTAACAAGGTCCCCCCAGAGGCGCGACCCTTATACGGGGGGCACCCCCCGTGATCCCCGTGACCCCCCCAGGGGCCCCACCCCCGCCCCCACTTCCGGTGCCCCCGTAGCCCTCC